TATAACCTTGGCTGGAACTTATTGTGTAGACCAAGCTGGCCTCAAGCTCATAGAGACCCATCTGCCTCTGTGTCCTAGGGCTCCACCATGCCCAGCTGTTTTTTTCTGATATTCCAACTTAAAGTTTGTTTGTTTGGGAAAAGGTGCTATTTGACTTAAGATTTTATAAAAACCTATTCCAACTAGGGATAGTAGGGCACGGCACAATCCCAGCCCTTGGAAGGCTGAGACAGGAAGAATTTGAGGCCAGCCTGGGATACATGGCAAGAGCATGTTTCACAAAGCAAAGCAAAGGAAAAAAACCCAAAAAACAAAACAAAAAAACAAAACAACAAAAAAAGCAAAGCAAAATTTATTCTATTCTCAGATATTTATTATTTATCAGAGAATATGTTTAGTCTTTTTAAATTGAAGATAATATATCCCATTATTCTTTTTACAGCTTAATTAGGATATAATTCACAGAAGACACAATGTATCCATTGACTTTGACAATTCCATGATTTTATATATCCATTGGGTTATGCAGGCATTGAATATCTAATTTTAGAACATTTCATTTCCTCAGTGAAGAACCTTGTACCCTGTAGCAGTCAGTTCTATTGCTTTTAAATTAGAAAATGTGGGAGTCAGTTTTTGTTTGGCTCATTTTCTGTCCAAGCAGGGAGGTGATATTAGATTATTCCTCCTGCTTTGTCTCTTATTGTTTCTGTTTGTTTTATGTTGTTACCATTATGTGTTCTCCATTATTGCTGAACCTCTTTTCATCAGCTTGCCTAGATGTCTTAGCCAGCTACCATTCAAAGCACTGTTTTTGGAAATATAGCTACCTACAGCTACAAGAGAAACTGTGCACACCAAGTCCTAATACAAATTTTCATTTAGTTTTAGATATTTTGTAACTCATTTTAGAATATCTTTTTTCATCATAATATATATATATATGTATATGTATATTATTTCCTCCATAATATGAGGAACTTTTTAGTTATCATTTCACTGCTGAGTTCTGCTGTAATTGTGTTTTGGTTAAGAAACATACATTAGCCAGGCATGGTGGCACACACCTTTAATCTGAGCACTTGGGAGGCAAAGGCAGGAGGATCTATGTGAGTTTGAGGACAGCCTGATCAACATAGGGAATTCTAGGACAGCAAGGACTACATAGAGAGAGACTCTGTTCCAAACAAACAACAAAAAATGAAACATACTCTTTATCACTGTTGTCCAATAGGATTCCATCAAGTAAATGTTGTGTATCTGTATTTTCCAGTGAAACAGTCATCATGTGGCTAGTCAATACTTGAAATATGCCTTGTGCAACAAAGGAACTGGGCCATTCCATGTTATTTAATCTTTTTTAAATGATTTATTTGGTTTTATTTCATGTGCATTGGTATTGTCTGCGTATATGTCTGTATGAGAGTATTAGATCTCCTGAAACTGAAGTTACAGTTATGAGCTGCCATGTGGGTGCTGGAAATTGAACCCAGGTCCTCAGGAAGAGCAATCAGTACTCTTAACTGCTGAGCCATCTCTCCAGCCTCAAATCTTAATGAATTGGAATGGCTACCTATGGTTAGTGGCTATGAATTTGAACAGGACAGGTCTATATGATCTCAGTCATTGACATTTATTTTATAATACTCAAATCTTTATGATGTGATGTTTGTTACATTTTTGTAAAAATTCCACGTTTTATTAAAGTAAAAATATATCTGTAATTTGGGGGGATGTATGCCCATTAGGTCAAGTTTGTCAAACATGTTATTGAAATTTTCCATATCTCTTAGTGATCACTTTTGTCTGTTTGTTCTAACTGTGTAAAACATATTGCATTGTGTGTTTTCTGTTTTTTCCTTGTATTTCTGTCTAATTTTGCTATATATATTTTGAATTAATTCTATGCTACATTCCTGTTTCAGAAATGTATAATTTAAAATGTATGATTTACAATAATGTTCATTGGTATCACTCACTGCGGTACAAGTTAACTAAGCATAATTTAGAAAAACCTAATCATATATAAGTTAAGCTGAGCATGGTGGCTCACACTTCTACTCCCCGCACATGGGAGACTGAGGCAGAAAGATTGTTATGAGAGAATTCTAGGACAGTTTGGACTACAGAGTCAGATCCTGCTTCAAGAATAAATTTATAAGTTAAAAAGACATGTTCTGTACCACCTAGTGACTCTCAGTGGTTTGTTGCTTGTGAAAAAAATAATAGTGTCTGAATTCTAGATTGTAGCTTAAATCAATATTTTTCAAATTGCCCATGACAAAGACATGGGGTTTTCTTTTCAACCAACCTATTACAATTTGATGTATGGTTCTACTGGGCATGCTTGGGTCATAGCTTATACCACATGCAGCTAACTACACTAGACATAACTCCAATTGGATTATACTCTGACCAACCAGGCAAGGCCATGTATCATGCTCTTGGATGTCAAGTTGCTATAACATTTTCTTTTTTTTGTTTGTTTAAAGAATTGCTTGTTTGTTTTTAAGATTTATTTATTTATTATGTATACAGTGTTCGGCATGCAGGGCAAAAGAGGGCACCAGGTCTCATTACCGATGTTATGAGCCACCATGTGGTTGCTGGGAATTGAACTCAGGACCTCTGGAAGACCAGCCAGTGCTCTTAACCACTGAGCCATCTCTCCAGCCTGCTATAATATTTACTAAACCCTCTCAGTTTCTGGTTTAGTTTTGGTTTTGAGACAGAGTCCCTCTCTCTCTCTCTCTCTCTCTCTCTCTCTCTCTCTCTCTCTCCAGCCCTGGAATTCTCTATGTAGATCAGGCTGGTCTTGAACTCAGAGATTTGTCCGCCTCTGCCTCCCGAGTCTAGGATAAAAGGTGTGCCTCATCACACCAGGCCTATCAGAACTTGTTAAGCCTAGATATTAATAAAGGTACATATGTTCCATGTAAGACTCTGCTTCCTATAATGATATGAATGTGATTCTGTTCCTTTTGAATATCCCTGGCTTTGAGCAGTTCTCCAGTTTGGGTGTTTGTGAGTACTACAGTCTCCACCTTAGCCTCTGCACTGGTGAGAAGCAAGAGCAAAGGAGCCAAAACTCTGCCAGTGTCCTTTCCAGGGGAAATGGCTTTAAGAAAATAGTTTGTTCTTATATCTCTTATTTGTGCTCACCAAATTATTTAGATGTGTTTGCTTTAGACAGAAAGAGAATGAGTTGCTATTTTAAATTACTTAGTAACATGATTTTTCTAATTTCAGGTATCAATCATGGTGATCTTAACGACCATAACATCTTAGTAGACAGCAAGTCAGCCTCTGGAGATGCTGTGTACCAAGTGTCTGGGATTTTAGACTTTGGTGACATGAGCTATGGCTACTATGTGTTTGAAGTGGCAATCACCATCATGTACATGATGATTGAAAGCACGAATCCTCTACAAGTAGGAGGTCACATCCTTGCAGGGTTTGAAAGTGTGATCCCTCTGACCGCTGTAGAAAGGAGTGCTTTGTTTGTGCTTGTGTGCAGTCGCTTTAGTCAGTCACTTGTCATGGCTGCATATTCCTGCCAGCTGTACCCAGACAACAAAGAGTACCTCATGATCACAGCGAAAACTGGATGGCAGCATCTACAGCAGCTGTTTGACATGGGCCAGAAGGCCGTAGAGGAAATCTGGTTTGAAACCGCCAAGTCCTATGAGTCTAGGATCTCTGTGTGACCAGAGAAAAGTTTGTATTTCCTTGGTAATCAAAACTCAGTTAGGTTCAGATCAAATTCACGGAGAATTTTCCTGCAGATTAAAAGTGAAATGGTAAAACATATCCGTTCTAAATACAAAGAGGCAAAGACAGGTTTAGTTTTTACAGCCATATTTGGGCTACATTTTACACTTAAGAAAGTACTATATTAAGAACACTTTCCTAGTGTGCAAAGCCCTGGGCTCAACCTCAGCACTACAGAAAAGAAAAACACATGCACAAGTACATGTCTTTCTGCAGCTCTTCTTTGTCTTTTATATGAACCACATATGATGATATGATTTGTAATCAGTCTCTCAAAGTCTATTCCAGTCCTTAAATCAGTAAGTTTTAAACTGTGAAAAGAATACATGTGTATAGCTATATTCACATATTTTAAATAATCCATATATTTTAACCACCTAGCCTACACAACACTAATTCTATGTACTCTTCTCCGACCTCACCTCTCTAGAATCCATTGCATTCTTTTCCATGGCATTTCACTGTCTTACCTGCTTATGGTTGTGCAGTTATGTAGCCTGTAAATTTGACCATGGCAGAGACCATGAGAAACATGTCTGTGTGTCTCTTCTTGCACCTGTGATAGTGCCTTTCCCATAGAAAAGTCTTTGAACACATTTATAAAATGAATGCATGCAAAAGGAAAGATGTTGTGGTGCCCTAGGGGAAAACACGGGTAGGAATCATGAGAAGAACATGGAGAGAGTAGCTCAGTTGGAACTCCAGAGACAGACATTAGACAACAGTGGAACTGCATGGAAGCAAGTGCAGACATTCAGGCAAGGCCATTAACCCTGATATCAGCAAGGTTCTCCAGCAGGTAGGAGCTCACTATACTGCTCGCGCTGGTCTTCAACTCCTTGGTCCCCACAGTCCTCCTGTTCAGCCTCCCAGTGTGGAGCCATAGCCCTATACTAGATGTTCTTCATTCTCTATACCTGATTGTCTTTTTATAGCAATCTGTGAAGTTAGTGAAATGAAGCCCCATTGCATATTTATCTTAAGTTTTACCTCAGTATTTACTTATTTCTTTTCATGTCTCTTTAAGTAGCTATTTACTTATTCTTGTAGGGTGGGCTTTTTTTTTTCTGTTTTGATACTAGATTCCACTGTGTTGTCTGTACTGGAATCAAGCAGGCAAACTCCTGGGCTCAAGTGATAATCATGCCTCATGCAACCAAGTAGCTGGGACAGTAGGCATGTGCATCACACTTGGTCCATTCTTGTGGTTTAGCCACACACTTTCTACAAATGGCTCAGGTCTAGAACCCTGGTCATTCACTCACCTTGTCAGTATTCTAGGTGATAGGCCCTGATACCATAACTGCTTGTCTGTCTATCTGCCTGTCTGCCTGTCTATCTACCTGCCTAAATTTCCCAAACTAGGCATTTCTCTGAGTTTACTTGTAGAATTCATTTTTAACTTCTCTGTGTCTCGATTTCCTTTGAAAAAGGAAAAATCTTGTAAAATCAAGATAATGGTTGTACCTATCCCAGAAAATCAAGTGTGAGGGTTTCATAAGAGAACATGGCAACCTCTTAGCATGGACTCTGGCACATAGTGGAGGCACAACAAATTGTTACTAAATAATGGGTCATATTCCAGGTTACCCAAGCTAGAAATAATGGTGTGACAGCTGCTTGTTTTTCTCATATTCAGTCAGTGAGCCCTGCTGCTTTAACAAATCAAGATTTTAGGTCAGCAATCTGGAGAAGTCCTGTCTTTCCTGCTTCATTAATTTTTTAGTAGCATATACTTTAATTCAGAACAGACTCATATAAATATTCTGATTATTAACTTCCATCTTTAGATAAATAAATAGAGCCTTAGCCCTGTGGTGGCACATGCCTTTAATCCCAGCACTTGGGAAGCAGAGGCAGGCATAACTCAGTGAGTTCGAGGCCAGCGGGATCTACAAAGCAAGTAAAGCCAGGGCTGTTAGAGAAATCCTGTCTTTGAAAAAAGAAAAAAAAGAAAAAGAAAGGAAGGGCCGGGCGTTGGTGGCACACGCCTTTAATCCCAGGAGGCAGAGGCAGGTGGATCTCTGAGAGTTTGAGGGCAGCCTGGTCTCCAGAGCAGTGCCAGGATAGCCTCCAAAGCTTACTCAGAGAAACCCTGTCTCGGGGGAAAAAAAAAAAAAAAAAAAAGGAAGGAAGGAAGGAAGGAAGAAATAGAGCCTTTAAAAGCTCAATTAATTGACTCAGAAGAGAGCTTGGGCTTAGATTTTAAGTTAGGTCTTTGGGCTGTGACCCCTGCTCCTAATCACTATAAAGCCACAGGAAACCCTGTCTCAAAAAACCAAAAACCAAACCAAACCAAACCAAAACAAACCCCATACTACTTCTTCTGCCTCTTCTTTCTTTTTCTTATACACACACCAAATGTGATCATTCACATGTGAAACACTTAAGATTCTCACATTTAAGATTTTTGTTTAACTTGGCTAATCAGGAAACTAGGGACCAGAAAAATGGACTAAACCTTCAGTTTCACTCCAGACCAGTGTTCCTCCTGTTATATAGTGGAACGCTTCAGGCTTCTCTTTTGATTGTTCTTGCTAACAGGGATTCCCTTCACTAAATTCCTAATGCAAATATTGCTGATTTCTGTTATGATATTAAATATATACTACATTGTATGAATATTTTACTATCTAGTTTTTGTTTTGTTTCTCTCATTTTTGAGACAGTCTCCCTATGTTGCCTTGGCTGGCTTGGAATTCACAGGGCAAACCAGCTTGGCCCTGAACTTCCAAGAACACTCCCTCCCCTACCTCCTGAGTACTGGTCAGGGCCAGCCTACATGTCACTAATTTCTAAGCTTCCCCCTTTAAAAAACCCAGATCCAAGTGGGCTGAGATGACTACATACAATATTAAACCAGGCACAGTCAACCCACTAGTTCTTCAAACCCCAACACAGGCACACAAACTAGGTAAAATAAGAAAGAAGAGATGGATGAAGAGGAATTCTCCCAACCAAAGAGCTGGATCTGAGGAAGGGAAAAATGAGGCTAAAGGGAAGCACGAAGGAATGAATAACTGTTAAGGGGCACGGCTGGAATAGTAAGCGATTTGGCTCTGTCTACAGTCACTACTCTGGGCTTCGTTAGAATGGTACAGAAGAGAAAGTGAAAGTGGAACGCAAAGTGTACCAGGAATCTGTTCCACTTTCCGCAGAACAGGATCGCCCCTCCTCTAACACCAACCCTAACCTAAACCCAGGTTGTGCGTCTTCACCGTCCACGTGGGCGGATGGTCCCCGCCCCCCCGACCAGGAGGACTTCCGCGTCCCCGCCGTCCCGCCCCCTGGCTGTTCTGCGCACGCTCGGGAGCCATATTTGTCGCGGGTGCTTGGCGGTCCTGGTTGGTTCTTCTCCGGCTGAGTAAAGCGGCGCTGATCTGCACCCCTCACTGTCTTTTCCTCCGGTGAGGCTCAGTCCCCGAGGGCCCGCGGAAGCAAGGTCGCTGTCTCCTGGGCGGGGGCCACCTGCGTGGAGACCACGGCCCAGGCCCGCGGCCGCCG